TTCCTCTCTGCTTGAGTCTCTTCTTCTCCTTCCTCTGCTTTAGTCTCTTCCTCTCTTTCCTCTCTGCTTTAGTCTCTTTCATTCTTTTTAATATGACTGGTGTCAGCAGAGGAATAAACTGTGTCTAAGACGTACAAGGTGTGTGTGAGCAACAGTTCGACTTTTACAACTTAAGTTTTGAAGTTTTGATGGAGCAACTGTTCCATCCATCCAAGTATTCATCCATTCATCCATCTATCCATCCATCCAAGTATCCAAGTATCATCCATCCATCTTAAGTAGTGCATGTATCAGCGCTCTTGTTCTTTCCACTCGTTCTTTCCATCTCTGACTCGTCTGTTTTACCTGGAGACAGATTTAAGCTCTGGCAGATCTCAGTTCTGTGTGACAGAATTTATTTACGAGATCGTCTGCTTAAATATTTTCTTACAACCGTCTCCAAGTCTGTGTGTGTTCGAGTGAGAGAGATTACTGTGCACAGGCAACACGCAAGGTAGAGAACTGGTTACCAACAAAGGAGGGATAAATGTAGTAATGGAAAAGTGAGAGTGCACACACACACACACACACACACACACACAGATCTGAGACTCATTAAAATCCTGAGTGCACGCTGTGTAAAAAGTCTCGAGCTCTGACCCTTTCTGCTAAAAAGTTTTGAGGGAAACTAAATCCAGGAATGTCTGCAGGAGCCGAAGCCAGGGGAATAAAGCCTGAGTGATTTTCTCTCTCTGTCTAACCTCTCCAGAGTTTTTCTTTTGTAATTCACATTCTTTCTCCCCCTCTCTGCATATAGAGCTGCTCTCAGACCTGCAGAGCAAAACAAGAATCCAAGCTCGTAGAGGACGAAGAGGTCAACGAGGAGGGTCCAGATTTTTAGGCGATAAGGGCCGACGCCGATGTGGATGAGCTGTAAACAACACTGATCTTTCCACGGCAGAATTTATACGTCCTGTCTCCTGCTGCTCTACAGGCTCCACCCCTCGCCTCGTCCTGCCTCCTGCTGATTGTCCTCTGACTCGGAACATCTCCTCCTTCATACGTTAACTCCAGAACTGTCTGAAAACTGCCTTAAAGGCAAATGTGTAAAAGATGTTTCGAGAACTTTGACTGAAGTTGTAGTAAACAGTTGCAAACAGGAAGTCAAACCGAGCGCACCAACTCTCGGACACGTCACAAAAGCCTGTGATGAATGTCCTGTCGTCCTCCCGTTCGCTCCCTGGATCCACACGTCTCAGATCCTTTCTTCAGTCAGAGTCTTGAGTCAGGACCGATTCTAATATTTAGACGTTGGCTCTGATTGTAGTCATGTCGGCTTCTTTATTTTCTCGACAGCAGAAAGAGTTTTTCTTATTCAACGCTGTAAAAAGCAGCGATGGGATCTGATTTACATTCATGCCCAGCAGCCGGGCGTCATTAGCCATTCATGACATCGGGCTGGAGGAACGCTGGAGCTGATTGGCCAGGCCTGGAGGGGATATGAGTGTTGTGATTGGCAGGGCCCGCGGGGAAATCCAGTTCTTATTGGTCGTAATGAAGAGGCCTGGAGGAGAGCGTGGCTTAGACAAAGTGAGAATAAAACTAAAACAGCGAAGAGAACAGGGGACACGAAGACGCCGCAGCTCATCGATCAGCTGCACGCGCGCTGTCTGCTCCGGTCCCAGCAGAATTATTCATCCTGCTGCACAAACCAACACAACAGAACATGCTCTCAGTCCCCTAAAATAAATAATATCCTCATATCTATCAGTACCTCATTCTTCTGTGTGTATTCATCTGTCTGCGCTTTTTCACACAGAGACCAAAAGGTGTCAAATAACATTCGAAATGCAAATGATTTGACAGTTTCTCTTGCATTATAAATAATTAGTGTCCGTTCAAATCGACACGGTGGTTGTAATGGTTTCAATGAAAAGCATCGGAGCGGCGGCGAGTATCTGCATTAATGTCTGTTTTTTTATTGTACAGATTAAAAAAAAGTTAAAGTTGTGTTTTTAGTCCAGTAAGATGCAGAAATAACTTAAATATACATTTCGAACTATGCATGATGTCATTTTCCAGCTTTTTGACGTCGCTGGTTGAGCTTGACCTTTGACCCATCAGCTCCAAACATTAATCATATGGATATAAATGCTCGAAGTAATATTGCCTCTGTGTCTGGGGAAAATCTGTCCATGCGTTGTTGAGTTATTTTGTTCAAATGACACAGACGTGCAGATGGAGACGGAGCGAGTGGGTGGAACTCAAGAAAAGGACAACAGGAAGTCATTTGTCCAGCGACATGAGCAGTTAAATAAAGCTCAGAGGATTCGAACAACACAAATGACCCTGTTCTGTGTT